ACCCCAGAGAGGATTTACTTTTTCTTCTGGCAGGCAGGTGACAAATCTAATTAATACAATCAGCCTTTGAAAGTACTGTAGCTGGTTTTTATTCTCTAGTTTATTTTCCATTCAACTTTAATTATATGTTTTCGTCCTTTAGGTTCCCAAACCTCAATTATTTACAAGAACTCCTCCTTATTGGCAGGTCCTGATTTCTACTTTCCTAGTCCCCATCCCCATGAGACTACAGGAAATTCTGCTCAAGTTTTGGACCTCCCAGTCCCAGCTTTTCATACACCAATCAACATGGTGGAAAATAAATACCCCATGTCATTTTTACCTCTTTTTACTCCCAATTTCTCCTAACATTGGCTCAAAAAGTTCATATTGCTTAACTTTTAGATGACTTAAAATGAAATGGTTTTAAACACATCGTCCAGTTTTTCTAGTTGTCTTAGCAGATGATTATTATACTTGTCCCATCATTCTTAGAATAGAAAGCATTCATCTCCCAGTCCTTCCTGTACCTTCACCATTACATCTGGGATGACTTTTCTTCTTCTGACTCTCTTAAAAGGAAGATAACAGACTCAAAATCGGTTCACTTATACTTAGCCCCATGTCCGCAATCCAAGTGAACTGAAGTTACAGTTCCATCTGTCCCACAGCTGGAATTTTAAACCAATCAGGAATTGCTTGATCAGCACTAGTTAGGTAATTTGCCTGATGGACCCTTGTTGTCCTAAAGTAACTTTACAATAACCAATCCATTTTTTTTGTCTAGTATAACTTCCTTGTTCCTTTTCCCTTCTGCCTATAAAAGTATTTCATTTTGTATCACTCTTAGGAACTCTTCTATCTGCTAGATTAAATCCTGCCCAATTCATGAATTGCTGAACAAAGCCAATAAGATCTTTAAAATTTACTCAGAGAGATTTTGTTTTTTAACGTAACCATACTCATTTATTGAATATGTAGATATTTAGGCCTCGTGATTTACGTGTGGGTATATCTACTATTGATTCTCTGCCTTAGGTCTCTACCAAGGTTTATTTTCAATGCCTCTTGCCTTATAAAGATGAGGAAATCTGAGACCCAGTTCCCAGGTTTGGTAAATACCATAGGGAAAAATTGGTTTCATTTTTCTCCTCAGTTCTCTAAGCTCTAGTCTTCAGCAGATTTTGTTCAAATAAACTCTAACATGCCATTTCTTTAATCCTTTGAAGATTTCTTCTTACTCCTGTACCAGTAGCCATATTCTATTAATGGAAACACAAATGCTTCTCAAATCTTTTCTTTCACTTTTTTCTCTTTTCTTCTTATTATGGAAAAAGTCTTAAGTGTAACTATTTCATTGACACTTTTATTTCAAATTTGCTATTTTCTACTTCCATTTTGATATTAACTTTTCTTAAAATTCTACTGAGTTTTTCCCTTTTAAAATGATTCCTAATCAGGACTTCTTTATCAAGTTGTGTACATGGAATTTCTCCTTGATTATCACTGAAAATAGAATTTACAAATATTCTATATTTATTTTGTCCTTTTCATTCTATTTCATAAGAAGAGAGTTTTAGACAGTTTACAATAAGGTTCATTTCTTTTTGGCTGGAATATATTTTCTTATGTTTAGCGAGGCTTTTACACTTTTTTAGAGATAGTTTTTTCAGTTTTATTCTACTACAGTAGAAAACAGGTAATTTCTGTCCAATTGCTTATACTTGTGTTTTAGTATGTTCAAATAGTTCAGTCCCAACAAAACAAAGTAGAAATGTATAGCTTGGTTATAACTTAACATTGCCACTTTGGAAACATAGAAGCTTGTTGTGAGTAGAGTAGAGACCAATATTAGCATGGCTTCTGTGTCAATTAATTTTTTATTTTACCTCTTATTGGCAAGAAGGAATCAATGTTTCCATACATACTAAACATAAGCTTGTACAAACACTGTCACAGAACGAAGTTTAGTGTGACCACCTTTGTCTGAAGTGCTTCCCAGAGGTGACTAAGAGAGATGTTTATATTTAATGTGCCCACTAACCTGTCTCTGTTTCTAGCTTTTATTAATTGATAATGTTTCTAAGTAAAGCTCTTTCAGGTTTCCTCCCATTAGTTCTCTGTGGGACGTTCCTTTTTGTTATCAGGGAGGCAAGCAGAGTATCTTCTTTCTCCCATCTGGTTATGTCCATACTATTTCTTGGAGAAATTAATCAAAACTCCTATTCTGTGAATGTTAGTCTGATATTATTCTGAATTTATTAAAATAATTTTAATGAGGTTTACTTATTAGGAGTAATAAAATTAGGTTCAGTGTGCTTATTTATTTTTTTAAATCATTATTTTTGTTTGACCTAAGGATTTAACATATCAAAGTAATATAGGTATTGCTTTTTGAAGGAAATTAGATGTCATCAATTCCATCTTCATGAACATAGGCATTTTTTTATACTTATTGGAAGAGTTCTTTTAGATATATTGTACACATACACATATACAGTCATGACATTATTTACATACAGTAAATGTAAGCAAAACAAATTGATAGATAATTTCTAAAATTTCTAAGTATTCTGAGATTTACTGTTCTTAATATCTTTGTAACTGAGATGCTTGGTGACTTGGTTAAATAATTGATATTCTTTATCTTAATCTACTGGAACAGTTATTTGCTTGGCTCTCTGCCCCTGAATTTGTCTGACCTTTTACAGCTGGTGTCATTCCATTTTTACTTGTTCCTCTTTTACCTACAGATCCAGACTCTGGGATCTGGCAATTGCATGATTGCCAAGGTAACTCAGAGAACTAGATTTCAGTTTACCTTGCTGTCTACTGTTGATTGAGTGCCCCAAAATAGATGATTATATTCCTTTTTCGTGTTTTACCATCAGCCAGTAGAGAAGAGTATTAGTGAGGGATGCAAACCTCCGGCTAAGATAGCAACTTAGATGTTTAACAATGCATATTGCAGAGTTGGTATGATACTTATTGAATGAGAATATACTGGGAATTAGTTCAGAAATCTAAATATTTACCAAAATCACTGGGTAATGATTATGCACACTGAAGTTTGAGATCCACTGCCGCCATAATTCAGAGCATGTCTTGGGATTAGACAGATATGGGTTCCAAAGTTCAGAAAGAGCCTAAGTAAAACCAATAAATCACTGAATTAGTTAATTAGGAAAAATTTTTGTGCACACACCAAAAAGTTTGCAAACCAGGAGCATTCAAACTGAAACATGGAATGAGGCGCAGGGGTATAATGTTATAAAGCAGCTTATATAATGGAAAAGCGTTAACTGCTTATTCATAGTAATTGGTTATAATATTAAAATTTTCTTCAGTGATAGGGACTTATCAGTGGTTACCTCATATCAATCTTGGGATTAAATTTTGTTTGTGATTTTCAACAAGAAAGGACCCAGGTTAAGTTTTCTTGCAAAATAAGCTAAATTAAGCTTTGTTTGCATGACTAAGCTGGTTTTATCCGCTCTGGGAATTTTAAAGGCTTGTCTCCATTCTTTCTTTCTTTATTTTATTTTAACACGTTCTGATGAAGCTGCTTTTCACTATATGTAAGATTGTGGAAATGGACTTAACGTGTGGTTCATTTTGCGTATCTGAAGTAGAACATAGAGAAGAAGTGAGGATGTAGGAAAGTATTACTTATAAATCTCTTAGCATAATTCCTGGAACATACTGTATTTCATCAAATCTAACAGGCAATTGACTTAAAGATACATGATGATTTAATTTATACTGGGAGGAAGAAGAATTACACTATGAAACACTACTTAGTAATCAGACATTTATTTTATACTTATTTTAAGAACTCTTAATAAATGTCACATCTATAAAAAATCATATAATGTTTGTTTATATTAAAAGAAAATATAAGCAAAATGAATTGATGAAGCCATTCTAAAACTTCTAAACATTCTAAGATGGACTCTTCTTACTATCTTTGCTGTCTTTGCTGTTCAGAACTATCACTGTGTTCTACCAGAATTCTGATACAAGAATTACTGACAAGAGGGTTCAGTTATTGGCTCAGTGCATTTGTTTTTCTAGCCAATGACTTATTTTTCTAGTTTGGGTGCTATAAACAAAATAAATAATTTTATCAGAAGGGATCAACAGATTTTCAAGTTATAACTATGAGTAACAGTTTCTTCAAATTAGACACTAAATTATTTCTGTTTCAACTGGTAAGTAATTACAATTGTCTACTCAAGCTTCCATGAATACTCATGTTAACTGAAGAGTTCTAATTACGAGTAAAAGTCTTCAAATTAGACCCTAAATGATTTCTGTTTTAACTGTTAAGGAATTACTATTGTCTACTCAGGCTTCCATGAACAGTCATGTTAACTCAAGTACTCTTGACAAACATGTCACAACTGCCACCTGGCTGAGAGTGATGGGAAGATTCAATAGTCAATCAAATATATAGATACTGCAATGTAGGGAAAACGTGCATTATTATTTCAAAAAAAAGAATCAATAAAGATAACAGTATGTGCCCAAGAAAAATGATATGCAGATAGTGGCTGCCATTTTTTATTAAAAGTGTTTTATTGTGGTTCTCTCGCATACCATATGCTTGATACTTTCTTCTGTTGTTTAGCTCTTGATGATTTAACTTGTAGAGGTTGTCTGATTTTCAAGTACTCCTAGCAGATCCATTCTTAGTATAGTTCTTCCTTGCCTAGACCTCATCAAATACCTGTTAGCTAAGGTAAAGTATCTAAAGTAATCAAGGGCTTTGCATATAGCAGTTTTTCAGTAAATTTTAGGCTCTGTCATTTGCCTTTATGCTGCTGACACCCTCCCTGAATGCCTTGTCTCCAGGTCACAACCATTCCTAGCTTAGTCTATCATAACCCACTTTTAATTCCTGTAGAAGTTTCTAAACTCCACCTGGAGATGGATTCTTCTTACATAAGTATATTGTGACCCATAGACTGTGATAAGAAATATTAATGATGCATTTCTTTCTTTTTCTTTCTTTTTTCCAGAAATTTTGCCTTTACTGCTACAGGAGTTGGAAATTTATTTGAGCTTTTGACCTTCTTTGAATGTGAATTTTTGCCTCCCAAATTTAGCCAAAGATTTAATATAAGGTAAAGATTTTATGCAAAGGTCATTTTCCCTTCTGCTTCATTAACAGTATTATATGTTTAGTAATCATTTACCCAAAACTGATACACGTTTCTTTTGGCCCCTGTGTTACTTCTACTCTTAATTCTACAGAATATAATCAGAGTTAGGTAAATTGACTTTCAAAGCCCTTGGAAATCTGGCTCTATATTAATTCTTCAACTGTATCTCCTTATGTTCTCTTCTGAAAAATCTCTGCTCAAGTCAGGTTGATCTTGTCATGGTTTTCTGAACACACCATGAGCGTTCCTGCCTTCCTACCTTTACTGTTCAAACTTCCCTCCAGCTAAAATAAATTTCATTCTTTCCTTTTTTTCCTGCAAATGTTACCTTTATTACAAAATCCTATCCTGCTGTTTCAGAACACACTCATTTTTCCATTCATTCATTCATTCAACAAATACTTCTTGAATACATATTATTGCCAGGCAAGTGAATAGGATTAACAGAAGTCTTTGTCGTCATGGAACAATAAAGGGTGTAGGAAATAATAACATAATAAACCTAACTGTAAAATATATTTTTAGATATTGATTATCATGCTAAGGGAAATTAGAGTGATCAGAATGGTTTAATAGACTTTAACAATACCTGTGAATTCCAATCCATGGCACTTTTAAATATTGTTAGCTGGATTGTTACTTTATTCATGTGTATATTGCTTGCCTTCATAGTGAAAACATAATATCAAAGAAACTGATAAAATTCATATCTGAAATATAATAAGCAGAGCATTAAGAAAGAAGAAAGCTATTCCAACTTTGTCCCTTTTCGCCATAAGATGACTTGCAATCGCCAGGTATGTGCACACATTAAAGCCTACAGTAACACAAATATTTATTACCTAGATTGACTCTTGTGTTTCTTCTACCTTGTTTTTCAACAGGGGAAATGGGCATTCTTCTGTTCTCCTTAAGGATGAGTAAGAATAGGTGCTACTTGGAGGAGAAAGTGAGGCTTGTCTTCAGCCATAGAACTGACCAACAACTCAAGTCTCAGGGAGCAGAGAGGCAGAGAGTAGATCCATGTACACAGCACCCTCCAGAGCCAAGGGCCTGACTAATTGGAATAGTCTTAGTATTGAAAACACAGTCCGAAAACGTCTAGCTAGCCACAGAATCTGCTCAGAATATTTAAGCTGGAGTGGGCAAATTCCATCTGGTAGTGACAAATTATAGCCAGGACCCAATGCACAATGAAACAGAGAGAAGGGATCCTCAGATTATGAGAAATATTAATAAGCTATTGTAGAATTGCATTAAATATTAGAGTGTAGATTGTTTCATCTTTTATTGTTAAAACCAAAGATATTGATGACATTTTTTCATAGGTTTAATTAGTGTCTAGTGTCCTTGCCAAATGCATGGTATTAACTGGCAATTCCATAGACAACAAACGTTTAGCATATTTCTGTAATTTTAGTAAACATTACAACTTCTCTTTCTCGGTTATAAAAATAAAAGTTTGGCAATGAATTTTGCACATGAGACATTAAAATTTACATTCACTCTTGCATTTACTACTACTCTTTTAAATGACATCTGTTAATAACTTTTCGTAAAATCTATAGGTAAATTTCTAGGTCTTTTCCCCTTATCTAGTGGTACCTGAAGAGTTTGCATATGAATTTGGAAATACGTAGCAGTACAACATCATATGGATCCACAGGACATGATTTGGGCTCCTTGGAATTGGAGATAAACCATCTCTCCAAATGTTTCCTTCTTATAGTTGAGGAGTCCTTACTGGTTTGTTTAAAAACATGTGAAAATCTCAATTATTCTCCCACTCTTTGAAGCTTAATCAAATGTTCCTTTTGGCAGATTACTTTCTTTCTCCTGTCTTATTCATGCAGTTACCATTTTTTCCTTTTTATTTTTTAAGAGGCATTATATTTTCAACTCCAACAGATGTATTTCTTTAAAAATGCCTTTCATGAGTTTTATCAACCTATGAAAACAGATATATGAACAAAATAACTCAAACAAAATTTATACCAAACTCATGTACTGAGTGTTGAATGGTGCTAATCACCTGGAAAAAATTAAAATGTAAGATTTAGTAATCCCCAAGAGTGTTAATCAAATATCTTATTTTACTTTTCCTCCATGTTCTATTTTTTGCTATTTCTATCAATTCAGACTCAGGGATTTTGGCCTTGGATTCCAGCCCATTTTTCCCACTGTAAGTTTTTCAAAAATCCTATGGGTACGAGAGCATTTGGCTTATGATATTTATAAGTCTCTAAGCTCCGTAACATGCTTAGTTACTGTGGAGACCAAAAGCAAATGGGAACCTGAGCTGAAAACACACTGACAGAAGCGGAACGGAAATGCAAGCTTAAGTATGGAAAACACACAGTGCTGTTCTGCAGTCCTTTTCTGCTGAAGCTTTGAATGGGTCATGTTCAATGTCCCTTGTTTGCAGAGACACAAACTTCAAAAATGACAATATTTTTCACTACTGAAAATAAACATTAGATGACCCCAGACAGCTTAGCATAATGCCCAGCGAAAGCTCTGACATTTGAATTGGTTCACTCTATGAAAGGTTATATATGCCTCTACTGTTCACTCATTAGTATTTTAAAATGTTAATTCATTCCTTCTCAGTAAGTACTCCATATATCCATCTCAGTTTTCTCATTTTCATAACAAAACAGTGCCACATTCACTCCACATTAGTTTTATGTTAAATTTACTACCATAGACAATCTTTCCTTACCTGAAAAATGAAGGCAATAAATGAAGCTAGTCTGTTTGCCACTCCTGCTTCTTTCTGTACCTCTGTCTTTCTGGCTTTGCCAGTGCTTACCATTTCCCTTGTTTTCATTTTTTAATACTTGATATCTTAAGAATATCCCCAGATTTAATAATGCACAGATATTTATCTGTGCACCATCTCTTCAAAAGGGTGCTACTGTTTGATGCAAATAAATAGAATAGGGAACATTGTACTTCAGTTAGAAGAATTTTCCAACTTTTAACATTCTTTTATACATAAAAATACATCTCAAATATAAAATGGTTATAATTCTTTACACAAATGCTTTGTATCCTAATTACAAATTTATTTTTAAGTGTAATGTTTAAGAAGGATTTTAGTTGGAGAGGAGAGGATGATGCTGAAGACAAGTTCTAAAAGAGTAGAATTAGAAAGACTTGACTTGAGCTATTTAGGACAATTTCTACATATGTAAATTTTTTCTTTGGGAATATTCTTTGGAGGAGTTGTGATACTGTGGAAAGAGGATGAAACAGAGATTCAGCAACAGATTCAGGTGCTAACGCCAGCTCCAGCATATATTTACTGGATGTACTTTCAAAAGAAAACACCATTGTCTGCCCAGTGGCCTTGACAAGTCCTTGTAAGAGTCAAATATTATGAAAGTATTTTATAAATTATGAAGTCTAATCTATTAACATTTATTGCTATAGCCCTGGTTTGCAAAGTGGACTCATTTATAGGAGATACACAATGAATTATTTTTAATTAAATATTTTTAAATTGCAAGATGATGAATGTTTTCCTTGGAAGAAGAGGAACAATGCAAGAATATGTAAAGACATTTGGAAACGTGCCTGTAAATTCCTTTCTGAACTCTCAGAGACAAGTAATGTTAAGAACCCACTATATAATCTTCCACAACTTTGGTTTTATATTTAACTTTGGTTTTATATTTGGTAATTATTCTTGTTTTTCATCATTATTCTTCCCCTAATGCATATTCCATATTCTCATTTTTCTGTATTTGTACTTCCACTTGCTTTTTTACTCAAAAGTATATCATGTTTGTATTCTTTAAATGTGATCTGTGTATAAGAAAGCTGGGAGATCTAACACATTTTTTCAAAAAACTGTACTTTTGTATGATGAGTCCACCATAACTTATTCAACTGTTCCTTTATTGATGTACATTCATATTGTTTCCAAGTTTTTGCCACTATAAATTATTCTAAATAAACTTCCTTCTAAAGTAAGAACTTAATTTCTACTGGATAGATTCATAAAGGTAAAAAATGTGTATCTTTTAACTGTGAAAGATAGTATCAGATCACTTGATGAACTCACATTCACACCAGCCATGAATAAACAGGGCCTATTTTTTTTTTTTAATGCCTGGCTGATCTACAGATTTTTTAAGGAAAGAATCATAATGAAAGCATCGATAATCTTCTATTTGAGTACTAATTATGTTGTGCTTATGTTAATATGCTAGTCTAGTATTTAGACTTCTGCCTGTTTTTTGTCCAGTTAGAAAAAAATGTATTTATCTTTTACTTGTCCACTTGTAGAAAGCAATAACTATGGTAATATCAATAATCTTTTGTTCAGTGTTACTGTATCTTTGAAGTATCTTTTAAGACTGAATAAATAATTAGATAGGCTCTACTATAATACACAAAAGCTTAATTCACCCAAAGAAATTCTCTAGATCTCTGCTAATAGAATTTTCTGCCATGATGGGAATGTTCTCTATCTGCACTGTCCAGTATGGTAGCCATGAGTCACATGTGACTATTGAGCACTTGAAATGGAGCCAATTTGACTGAGGAACTACAAGTTTAAAAATCACTTAATTTTGACTCATTATATTTTAAATGTAAAAAGCTACATATGGCTCGTGGCTACCTTTAATGAAGAAAGTAGGTCTAAAGTTCCTTCATGTGTTTAGAACTGATTCTCTGGTGGGGGAACAGGGAAGTGTGACATTTTTAGTTTGGAAGTTAAAAATATAGTGAAAAGGTTATTTTTGCATAGATTCTACTACAACCCTAATCCTAACCTTAACCCTAACTATGAGGAAATTGCTCCATAACACTGAAACATGCTTTTCTATTTTGTTGCTCTTATGTGTTAATATATTTTTACAAGATATGCATTGTTAACTCAGTAATATCTATTTTTATGTAATGTCTTATAATGTAACATCCTTCTTTTCCTACTTTATAGGAGAAAGCACAACATTTTCTTTTACATGAATTCTGCCTCATCTAAGTTTTGTCATCACTGGATATGTTTTTTAAAGGTAAGTTTCTTAAAAGTAAAGTATTCTACTATTCTTCCTGAATTTTGAATTTCCTATACTTAGCACTTGAGATGATTTTCTCTGCCTCCCTATCTCTCTCTCTCTCTTATTTGGCATTAGACTCAGTCTCATCATCATATTTCAAAGCAACTACTGAGAAGGAGACTTATTTTCTTTCTCCTATTTTTTCTATTCATAAAGGAAAGTTGAGTAAAGTGCTAACTTCTAGCAGTCACTGGCACAAATCTGGGCTTAGTAGAGCCATTCCAGTTTCTAAACCCTACCAGTTTAATATGCAAATACCCATAGCTTTAGTAGCAGAGAATGTAATCCTATTATAGTCTCAAATTTATCTGAGTCCTTAGAAATCCTGATTAGCCTTAATAATCACCTGGCTCCTTTCTGGGATATTATGAATATCTGTGGTGGTTTCAGATCCTTCCATGTGAGAAAATATGATTTTGGCTACCAGGGCTCTCCTCTGTTAGAAAAATATTACACTGTGTATCTTTTACTTCTGAGTTTGAGTTTTTGTAATAAAATATCTAGGTAGATATTTTGCTACACACCCATTAAATTAAAAATTGTCTACCGTTTTAAAAAGCGAATCCACATTCAAATGTAATACTTCACAATATTTGACCTATTTTGTTTCATTTGCCATCCAAACCACTCCACAAAATAAGCATAAATTTATTCTTGTTTGAACCTCAGTTTTACATATAGATAATAGAGTTATGTGAATTTTTCAAGTGCTCGTATATAGTTAATATTTTTTATGGTGAATTGGGGACTGGAGGACATATAAATACTCGATAAGGATTATTATTGCCCATTTTACATCAGTGTAAAACACATGGGCTCGGAGACATACTTCCTGGGTGTGGCTATCATTCTGCCATCTTAGACTACATTTCTTTCATCTGCAAAAATGCAATAAATTTACTTAATACTGATTGTTCCTGTTACAACAATTGAATAAGGTGTGTTACCTGCCTGTTGTTACTGCATGTCTATCAGTATACCTAGCATTGGTTAGCTGCTTACAAATGCTACTTTCTATTGTTTTCCTTTTCTTATCGATTTCATTTTGATAATATGTAGTCGTTTTATCTATAGGTTGTTCACAGGTTATCTATAGGTTAAAAATATGCAAGTAGTGGAAAAAAAGCTTTTCAGATCAAATTTACCTAATTTGAGTCTCAATATCAAAACCCTATAAGTAAAACCAAACTTATGAATCTCATTAAGCAAGAGGTTTAAATAAAACTAAAGTGTATCTAATAATTTATGAACATATAAGTAAAAGGGCTGCTTTAGTAGTATTTCAACATGGCCAACTTACAATGTCTTAAGACTAATAAATTCCTGTTAAACATTGAGTAAGAAAGCTTAGAAATTCTAAACCAGAAGGATAAGTGAAAGAATGCAATTATTAAAGCTCTTTGAATATAGCCTTTCTGTTGATAATGTGTTGTGGAAGATGAAGAATGACTGCAAATGCACTGACACTCCCCCCACCCAGGGTTAGGGGCACTCCCCTGCTGCCTTAACAGATAGAGCGCGGTGGTACCAACACATCCAGACATCCAGGCCGAGGAAGTGGGGACCGAGGTAGAGTTATCTTGGAATCTCTAGAATTACCCATCCACCAGACCATAAAATGGTCCCAGTAAATGCACTGCAGAGCAGAAGAATCACCCATCTGAGCCCTGCTCAAATTCTTGATCCACAAAATCATGAAATATAATAGCATGTTTTTTTATTTCAGAACATTTAGTTTTAGAGTATTTGGTTACACTATAATAGATAACAAAAAATGTAGAAGTTAAGGAAAAGAATGCCTTTCCATTTGTAGGTACATACACAACTTTTCATTGGTTTTACATGTACAAATGGTTAAAATGTAATCCTAAAATAATTTATCCAAGCTCGTTTGTTTGAACAGATTCACTGACCCAGGGTTTTATTGTGTGCATAATCTTTGAAATAATTATTGGTCATTACTATTTCAATTTATAGAACCAATCTGTTGTAAAATCATGAGAGAACATAGGACAATTGGATATTTAGGGAGGCAGCATATTGTACCTATAGAAAAGAACTAGGTTCTCTATCAAGAACTCTGAGATGAAAGATTTACTCTGCCACTCATTACTGTGGCAACTTTGATCAAGTCACTATCTGTGTGGGTTTAAATTCATCTATAAGATTAACTCATTAGATTGCCTCTCCATAGGTTGCTTCCAACTGTATTTGAAAAATCTCTAAGCTTCTGCTGTCGTTGTTTTGTGTTCTTTCATGAGATAGTCAGGTGAGGCCGCAAAGGGAGAAACAGGGCAAATACAGGAAAATAAAGCTTATGACATGTACAAGTCCTAGAGAGAGAGAGTTATGAAGGGGCCACATGAGGGGAGCACCAGGGCAGCCAGCTCAGTCATACAGGTTGGGAGCTGAAGAAGAGCAAGTGCCCGTGGGCAAGTGGGGGTCAGGCTGGAACTCAGCTGAAGGTGCAGGGGGATTCCACGGGGTATTTGAATGATACCAGGTCACAGTCAGGGAAGAGCAAGGGGAACTTGTGGTGGGTAGTATTATCCTACCGGGGTACCTGGGCACCTGGGAGGTGTGCTCACAGACTGTTTTGGAGAATGTTGAGGCAGCAGGAAAATAAGTTTAAAATGTAGAATAAAATCATTAGGTCATGTTGTGGCCTGAATGTGCCCCCTTGAAATTCATATGTTGACATCCTAATGCCCAAAGTGATGGTATTAGTAGCTGGAGCTTTGGGGAGGTAGAGAGGTCATGAGGGTGGAGCCCTTATGAATGTAATTACTGCTCTTATAAAAGAAACCCCACCAAGGTCCCTGCGCTCTCTGCAGTGTGTAGATCCGAGAAAGAGAGCCCTTACTCACTCATGCTGGCACCCTGACCTCAGGCTTCCAACTTCCTGGACTGTGCGAAAAAAAATTGGGTTGTTTATCATCTATCCAGACTGTGGTATCTGTGGTATTTTATTACAGCAGCCCAAACAGACTAAAATAGGTTGCAAATATTTTAACATGTCACAACTAAACTGGTACCAAACAGAAGGTTTGATAGTAGATGTCTTCCTCCTTCACCACTCAGTAGTACAGTACCTTAAACATTCTTCGCTTTCCTTAATATTTCATCCTTCAAACGAATCTTTAATAATTTCCCAGTGAGAACTTTTGTACAGGAAGGAGTTAATACATATTGCTTTATTTGCAAGTGTTGGATTGTCAGGTAACAGTTGTAACTTTGAGAATGTTTATATACATATATATATAATATATATGTATATAATTATATATATGATTTATTATATATATAAAAAATATATATAAAATATATATATATATAATTTATCACAGAGGCTGTATTTTCTTATGCTTAACTTAATTGGATCCCCTGAGCATGTGAGTTTCAGGCGGGAGCATTATTGCTGTGTGTGGGTTTTACCTTTAAATTCAGGTGAATCAGTTACAATGTGAATTTCACAGTAGTAGTTTCTGTCTCCTTGCCTTCACTTAAGGTGATGATTTGATCAAAGCTGGCAAAGCATGAAATTATGGCCACCTGTAAAAATGTCACATGCTATTTCAAAGTCCTCCTGCAGTTGGAAAATTTCCTGATTATCTGGACCAACCATGGGAATTAAAATTCAGTGTGCCTGACATTACAGCATGTTTTAACAAGAGCCCAATTATCCCTACCCTGTGCCACTATAGAGTTGCCTAGTCAGAATTGTTAGACAAGTCCATGGAGGATAGGAGCTGTCACCAAGCATCAGCTCACACAGGAGAATAAAATAAAGGCAACACTTCTTTCTTCATAAAAATCAATAATTGTGTTTTATTTGAAAATGTGTACTCCTATGCCTGGAGCAAGCCCTGAGAATGTAAGAAAATCAGTCTATTTTCAGATTTTATGGCAAAATCCTTCACTTTTCATCATAAGAACTGTTAGCTCTTTCCTCCTCTGTTAAAAAAAATATATTCTAGGGCATATTCAGCAACTGTTATAATCATAAAAAATAAGATATTTTGAAAATATATCTAAAATTACCAACTTTATTTTTATGCAGAAAGGAAAAATACCCTTTGTAGGCTTCAATTTTATTGAAAAATATTTATTGAGCACCTACTTCATACCAGGCTATTTGCCCAACTCTGGGTTACAAGAAATGCATAAATATACTTCTCCCTTCATGAAACTCACAGGCTAGGAAAGGAGACAGAAATGCAAATAAATTAATTCCTTAGAAGGAAAAACTGATGAGAAAATAAATAATTACAACCCAAAGATGATAGACTGTCCTATGTATATATGTACATATATATAAACAAATATATACATACATACAGAAAAAGTTTGCAAAAAATAATAATCATTTCTAAAAATGTCATTGTTCTAAAATTAAAGGTATACCAATTGATCTATTTATAATAGTTTCTGATTAATATATGTCTTTCTTAATTGAGGAGTCACTTAAATTCACTAAACACATTTGACATTTTCAACAAAAAGAAGGCTTTAAAAAAGAAGAAACTCAAGTTTTATTTATGTTTGCTGTTTGTACCTAAGAGGGGTAAATGTAAGAATTCTTATATGACCAAAAGATGTAAAGTCATGGGAAAGCTGAGGGGGAGGAAAAGGGAGTTTTGTCGGTGTTTCACCAGCTTCCTGATAGAAATGTGCAGTGCAGAAGAGGTGTCTGAGCTTCTATTCTAGTGCTGTGAGCACAGCTTCGCATTCATCTGCCTCAAATATTGAGCATACAGAAGAGTTATTTGAAGAAAGGGTCACTGCTCAAAATATTTTGTGTATTTCATTTATTTTTCTTACTACATTAATACCATAGGAAAGCATTTCCATTTCTATGGCAGGAAGAGCAGTTTAATCTCATTGTAGATTTTACCCAAATCTATACCTCTGCATGTTTTGATTCCTTTGAGTCTCATGGTTCTACTCATTTTTGT